GAGTGAGTCAGTCAGTCAGTCAGTCAGTCAGTCAGTCAGTCAGTCAGTCAGTCAGTCAGTCAGTCAGTCAGTCTTTCAGTCAATCAGTCAGTCAGTCAGTCAGTCAGCTCGGGCAGGCAGGCAGGCAGGCAGGCAATCAGTAGGTCGGTTCGTCGATCGAATGTGACTCTATATCATCATTCCGTTATATATAATAAGCCTTCTCTTTTTGCTTTTCCTGAAAAATCCATTTCATTTATTCTAGTCATTATTATTTATTGTGTATCTTATTTCAGAATGTGCGACATGATGTTGTGTACTACTACAAACCAGCTCCCTCAAATTCTTTACAACCTTTTGAAAAGTTCACCAACCTTCCAGCAGATCGGCAACTTTTGTTGAGAAGCCGGGACGACTTAGAAGAAAGCCGCAGAATTTATCACACAGTGGCTTCGACGTGAAAATGTCTATATGACAATATCTTTGATATAAATCTTGCAATGGACTGAATTATAGAGACAGACACATGCTATATTTATTTTACTGTAAGCAAAGAAATGAATAGTTGTAATAAACAAATGCAAAAAATACACTAATATTCTGTTGTTGCCTTTATTGTAACCCCCTGTAGCCTCTTGGCCATATATAATTGGGTCACGCAATCTTCAGTGTTGTCCGAGGACTGAGAACTGTAAAGTCACGGTTGAAGAAAATAATCCGTACTTTAACATACTTGATCGACCGCTACATGTTGGTTTTCACACACGGCCCTGTGCATACATAGGGGCGGACCATTATATTTTGAGGGGTAGGAGGGTGCAATTTCGAAAAAAAAAAAATTTCTGCACAGCAAAAACGGCTGAAAAAATTCATGTAAGGGGAGCCATGGGAAAAAAGTCGAGCAAGTGCTTTCTCCAGGTCTTATTTTTGATGTTAAAGAAATTCGTGCACCAGTTGGTGCCTAGCAAAAAAAATTCATGTACAACCTAACAGTGAGAAAAAAATTCAATGCCCCAGAAAATTGCCCAACTCTGCTAAGAAAACTTATGGTCCGTCCTAATACCTTGTACAGTAGTCATGACGCATAGGAACAACTCCACAAATCATTCCAGTGTTTGGAGATTTGAAAGAAAATCAAACTGTCAAAAGAATGTTTACACGTCGTCTAAAATTATTCCATAACTCAGTTAAAAAGGTTGTAGACCAGAAAAAATTTAGTGGACATTTGGTATTCAAAAAGTGCCCCGTTTCCTGGTTTACGTCATACGATCTCGTTGGTACGCTCACGGAAGTACAACACAATGGACACTTCCTTGTTCAAAGGGTGGATAACGCTATCAACAGGCTAAATCACTGCCCAGTGGACAAGTTCTGGCAAGAAAAACTACGCTCCGCGGCCGTTCGATAGATAGTTATTTTTCTGGTGGACTGAGCGTTACAACTGAGGTCTGATCGTCAGATTACTAAATGATGGACAAATTAATCGAGCTTTCTGCAATCGAGCGCAATCGACTTCAATATGTGCATATTACGTAATATTCTTAGTCAAATGTTCCTCGATCAAGCTGTCATGCTTCAAGTATACCAGCCTGACCGCTTGTAAGGCGTCTTGAGACAAGTAGAAATGAACGTTCACCGCACTTTATTATAATTTTTTCATTTTCATATTTTCATTGAAATTGTAATTTTTTTCTTTAGCAAGAATGAGTACAAATAAAGACTGATTAATATCTTGTTCAGTGTCTTTCTTTCTAGAACGTCTTGAAATTACTTTACATTGGCTCATTTAAATTTTAGCGTTCTAGAAAATGCTAGAAACATCTAGAGCTTTCTAGGCCTTTCAAGTGAAAGCTCAAAGTGCTTAGTGAGCATGACAGAGAACTTCGTCATCTGCCGGATTTAGAATCTGGCGCGTAAATCAACCAATCATATTGGGGGTTATTGTCTGACGAACCAATGAAATAGCGCGACTTTCGCAATGTTCTAGAAAGTTCTAGAATGTTCCATGAGATATATAAGCGTCGTACAGCACGTGTTTTGCACACGCATTTCAGTAAACGCCGCACCGACGTTATCCTTGCTACTTTGCTGACTGAAAAAAGGTAAAAACTCAACCCTCTGTCACCAACATGCCTGACATCGAAGAAGTTCAGCAGATGGAAGAAGATTCCGAAGCGGAAACCTTCGCTTTTCAAGCCGAGATCGCTCAGTTGATGAGTTTGATCATCAACACGTTTTACTCGAACAAGGAAATTTTCTTGCGAGAACTGATCTCGAACTCTTCTGATGTGAGTATAACTGCGTTAGTGTCTGTTTCTGTCATTTTGCAATCGACTGCCTGTCTCTTACCAGCACTCGAAAGTTACATTTTGTATTGAATTCCAAGCTTTTGTCGAGAACTTTCTATTTCTTGAACTGGGCCTGGCCCTGTGCTTCCCATGTCGGTACGTTTATAGCGATGGATAATCTCACAAAAACGTTTTGCCCTTAAGTTATCAGGGTAACTTATCGAGTAAATGTTGTTCTTATACATCTTATCATTCACAAAAGTACAGATTTCGTTAGCGTCTCTTACTTTTCTATCTCGCTTCCTTGGACACGAACAAGTCGTACCACCAAGTTGAGTATTCGCCACGGAAGTGCCAAAAAGCTTGAAGCAAGCTTTCTTTTGCTTTATTTTGAGTCTATCTTGTAATAACTGTTACCGTGTAGTCTATTTCTTGTTATTTAGCTGTGGAAGGTAATTTTAAAACGCGAGTAAAGTAAGCTCAATTCTTTTCTTGTCTCGCGATCGCAAAACCGAAAGCGAAGCACATGGCGTCCGTCACGTGGTCGTTTTCTGGCGAGTTCTTTGAAAGAGAAAGTTCCTTCCCCTAGTAACTCATTTTTCTTTTCGTTTCTTCATCTTAACAGTTTTCGGGAATTACCCTTCTAACCTTGAACTCTGTTTCATTCAGGCTCTGGACAAAATTCGCTACGAGAGTTTGACGGACCCGACGAGGCTTGACAGCACTAAAGAACTTAAGATTGAGCTTATCCCCAACAGAGATGACAACACCTTGACGATCATCGACACTGGGATTGGTATGACCAAGGCGGATCTTGTCAATAACTTGGGAACCATCGCCAAGAGTGGAACGAAGGCTTTTATGGAGGCTTTGCAGGTAATATTCACGTCGAAAATCAAAATTCCACTTTGTTGAAAGGAGTGAAACATTGACAATGGTTGAGGCCTTTGGCACAGTTCATAAATTTTTCAAGTTGTGTATGGCAGTACCAATTTTCTGTCTGCTGCCAGTTTTGTTTATTGGTTCTCCTGATCCTCTTCCATCTTGCAAAAATCCTTGTGAATAACTCTTTTCCATCCTACTCAAAAGGAATATCGAATTATTGCTATCATATTTATGTGAGTCCGTTTCCCTTCTCCTTGGGAAAAATTTTGCTAGGTACTTACTCCTCCCAAAAATTATATGATTAAAAATGAAAATTAATGAAGAGGAAATTGTGATAAAAAACTTTATAAGACTAGGGTAGGAGTTTATACTAATGAAACCTTAATTCTTTCCAGGCTGGTGCCGATATCTCTATGATTGGTCAGTTTGGTGTGGGTTTCTACTCGGCCTACTTGGTTGCTGACAAGGTTGAAGTTTACACCAAGCACAATGATGATGAGCAGTACCTCTGGGAATCTGCAGCTGGAGGCTCCTTTACTGTTCGCCGTCTTGCAGAGGAGGTGTTGCCCCGAGGAACTAAAGTCATTCTTCACCTCAAGGAAGATCAGCAGGAATATTTGGAGGAAAAGCGAGTGAAAGAGATTGTAAAGAAGCACAGCCAGTTCATTGGTTATCCAATTGCTCTTATGGTTAGTTTAGTCTTCACTTCTTAGCTGGGTGTGGGAAGGGGTTGCATGGGATCTTGAATTGGCCAACATTGAGCTTGTGGTTTGGAAAAACTTGAAAGCTACTAAGCCGCGATTTGCAATTTTTTTCTGCTGACTATAACTCTTGATCTAGTTGAACTGTGGGTCGCAATTCATGATTCTAATTGAGAATTGAATCTGTTATGATCAGAGATAATGGAGAAAACTATTGGAGTCTGGAGATGGCAAGAAAAAGTTGTTGAATTTCACACTGATTGCAAGTTGTGACAATTGCTGTAGGTGAAAATTTTCCTAGCAATTTTATTCCATTTTTTGCTGCTTGAAATTGTGTCAGTGAGTGAGTGCCACAAACCTTGCTGTGTGTTACTTGTTCCATCAAATGTCAGTCAACATACTCACAGTCTGGTAACCATTCAATCAACTTTGACAAAGTTTTGGTTGCGTTGGTATTAAATCTTTCAAATCCTAACTGTTTTGTATTGCATTGGATCTTAGGTGCAAAAAGAGCGAGAAAAGGAAGTCAGCGATGATGAGGAGGAGGAAGAAGAAGAGAAGAAAGACAAAGAGAATGAAGAGGAAAAGAAAGATGACGAAGAAGGCGACAAACCTAAGATAGAAGACCTTGACGAAGAAGAGGAGGAGAAAAAAGAAGAGAAAAAGAAGAAGAAAATTAAGGAAAAGTACACCGAAATGGAAGAGCTCAACAAGACCAAACCACTGTGGATGCGTAACACTGATGAAATCACCACGGAGGAATATGGTGAGTTTTACAAGAGTCTGACCAATGACTGGGAGGAGCATTTGGCGGTCAAGCATTTTTCAGTTGAAGGACAATTGGAGTTCCGTGCTCTTCTGTTTCTTCCACGGCGGGCACCCTTTGATCTATTTGAAAACAGGAAAAAGCGCAACAACATCAAGCTTTATGTACGCCGTGTATTCATCATGGACAATTGTGAAGATATCATTCCGGAGTACCTAAACTTTATAAAGGGTGTTGTGGATTCTGAGGATCTGCCGTTAAACATTTCTCGTGAGATGCTACAGCAGAACAAGATTTTGAAAGTGATCAGGAAAAACCTTGTCAAGAAGTGTTTGGAGCTGTTTGCAGAGGTCACAGAGGACAAGGACAACTACAAGAAATTTTATGAGCAGTTTGGAAAGAACATCAAGCTTGGTATTCACGAAGACAGTGTCAACCGCACCAAGCTGGCTGATCTTCTGAGATATCAGTCCTCCGCCTCTGGGGATGACATGACGTCACTGAAGGATTACGTGACAAGGATGAAGGAAAACCAAAAAGACATCTACTACATCACTGGTGAGAACAAAGATCAGGTTGCCCATTCTGCGTTTGTGGAGCGAGTCAAGAGCCGTGGTTTTGAGGTGTTGTACATGACTGAACCCATTGATGAGTATGCCGTACAGCAGCTGAAGGAGTATGATGGAAAGAAGCTTGTCAGTGTGACGAAGGAAGGACTTGAGCTGCCTGAGGATGATGAGGACAAAAAGAAGTGGGAAGAAAAGAAAGCCAAATTTGAGCCTCTCTGCAAGGTATTGTGCTGTTCAGTTGATAAATAGTTCATTACTGACCAGTGTTTCTGGCATTGCAATTTTTAGTGATAACTTGGTTACTGCATTATTTGCCTGGTATATGTAAAATTATTTCCAAACTTGTTCCACCATGACTTGCCCTGTAGCTTATGAATCTAAAATTTACTGGCCCAAAACCTGTTTTTCAAACAGCCATGGGCTAGTGGACCCCTGCTACATACATGCATGCATGCATGCATGCATACATACATACATACATACAGACATACATACATACATACATACACTTTATTTCAACTCAAATTATCAGAGTAGCTGTACTGAGCTAATATCTTTGAGAAAGAAAACAAAAATACATAAACCAATTAAAATTATTAAAATATAATAATTAAAACTACTACTAATACTATAATTGTAATTACTACTAAAAGCTAAGGTCAAGCATTGTCTTGTGAGTAACCTGGAGTACTGATAACCTGAATTTGTCCTTCTGCAGACTATCAAGGAAATCCTAGACAAGAGGGTCGAGAAAGTGGTAGTGTCATCTCGTCTGGTATCATCCCCCTGCTGTATTGTCACCAGCCAGTTTGGATGGACGGCAAACATGGAGAGAATCATGAAGGCCCAGGCACTGCGTGACAACAGCACTCTGGGATACATGGCAGCCAAGAAACACCTTGAGGTGAATCCCGATCACTCCATTGTGGAGACCTTGAGGCAGAAGGTGGAGACTGATAAGAATGATAAGTCTGTGAAAGATCTTGTCATGTTGCTGTACGAAACCTCTCTCTTGTCATCTGGATTCACCCTGGACGACCCACAGGTTCATGCCAGCCGCATCTACCGAATGATCAGTCTGGGTCTCGGAATTGACGAAGATATGGAAACTGGTATGTCAAAGGGATTTGCTGTTATCACAAACCAGCCAATAAATGTACAGGGCTCATAAAAAAAAAACTTGAATTCCAGCTTGTCCTTAGGACAAGTACTTCTCAAATGTTTCTTGCCCTGGGCAAAATTATTGCTTTTAATCAAGTGACTATTTACCTCTAAGTTGCAGAAAGATGTTGATCAGTTGTTTTGAATCCTATTTTGTTTTGGCTTCATCACCATTTCATATACAAAATTCTTCCAAGACTGAAGGAAATCCAAAGATTATTATGCAGACAAAAAAACACCAAAGAGGTTACAGTAAACTAAAAGGAAAAAATGACAACTGGTTTAGAATGGGAAAGGTTGAGATGGATGTATGAACTTGGATCTGTAGATTTTTTTCTGTACATCACTAAAAAAAAAAAAACTGGCAATCGTGTGTTACAGCTCTAGACAAATGTTAACAGTCACGTGCTCCACCCCTTCTAACTAAAAGGTAGCTGGAAATTTGAGGTTAGTTAAGTGAGATCACCTTGCCTCTTCCTTCATTCAATGTTTTTTTCTGTTAAATTAAAAAAAAAAAAAAGAAGGGCATGTTTGATGGTAACAGCTGTAGTGATTAGGTTGCTATTGTAGTGCAGTGGAAGCCACCTTATGGCTACCCTGTTAATATGGCCACCTTGTTATGACAGCGACTTTATCTGGCCCAAACAAAAGGTCAGTCTGTCATTTCCTTATTAAAAGAAAAAACCCTTTACAGTCAAACTTGCAAAACCATTAACACCTAAAATATGTCTGGATTGTTTATTATGTTAACCAATCACGAACGAGATCTTTAACCACATAAACCACAGAAAACCGATGTATTGTATAGGTCATGGAATTATTAAATATAGTTTTGGTTTTTGCTTTGTCCCAAGATGCATCCTCTGTCTTAATATATTACTGAAAGTCTAAATAATTGCTATCCTTTTGTAGCGAGAACCAGATCCAGTACTTAGTTTGAGGGATTTTGGAAAACAAGAAATTTGGGTGGTTTCGCTAACCTTGGTGTCATATTTGGTTAAACTAGCAACTCAATTTATTTAGCAAATAATTACAATCCCTTGGGCCTGGTGGTTCGGTGATCTAAACACCCTGGAAAGATTGACAACGATAAATGCAAAATGTTTAGTACTACTTTTGGAATTAGTTGTGGCAAACAGTAAACACCTCAATTTTCCACTGTTCCTTCCCAAATAAATTTGCAGTTGATTCACATAATACAAAATATGATGGAAGACTTCCATTTTCCTCAATATCACTCGTCGCTTTTCGTCGTTATCAAAATAATGAAACAAAATGATGAAAGCACTGATTTGGATCGTTTGCGCTTGAGTGATTCAACAGCTGCCAGTACAGTTGCGTCTCCTGGCAAATTGGTTTGTGAAAATAGTTTTTTCATGTTAAAAATATCTCAAACCTTATTCATTAGTGTTAAAATAGCTTGTAACAGCACTTATCTAATTTTTTTGTATAGCTGAAATAGAGGATTTATGTTGAGACCTTTTGAAACTAAACAAATTTGTTCGGTGACCGATGGAAAATCATTTTTCTGTGGTTGAAGATCTCGCTCATGATTGGTTATAACACAATAAACAGTCGAGATATTTTAGGTGTTCACGGTTTAGTGAGATTGACTGTAATACAGCCAGCCCGTTAATACAGCCAGATTTTAATGGCGTGTTGGTGAGCAGATTAACAGGGTTCCACTGTGCTTGATTCTGTTGTAGTGTCGGAGAATTTGAGGGATAGTCATGAGTTACTTATTTGCTCCACAGTTGCTGAAGGAAATACTGGTGAGGCCAGCGCTGAAGACATGCCACCACTTGAAGGAGAAGAAGGAGACGATCCCTCCAAGATGGAAGAAGTCGATTAGTCATTTCAGTCAAGATAACGGCTTGAAAAAAGGAATTAAGTCATTAGTTTGACAAGCTGCGTTCTTTTTGACAGTTGCATAGTAACCATTAACATTTTGCTGATGCGAAGTGCATTGCTATAAGCACAGAAAAACAATTTCTCGTAGATACTGAAATTATTAAGTACGTGTGATTTGGCTCAGACTACTTTATTGGGTAGGTTCACAATTTTGGGCAACTAATTGAACTATTGTTAAGTGAATAATAATTTAAGGGTGCATGTGCATGTACTAACATAAAAATTGCCCGAGTATCTAAAAGTAATTATGGTTGCTGTTGACCCGTTGACATCTTGTTTAAAATTGTCTGTTCTAATACTCTGAACTTTGTACTTTCTTATATGTAACATACCTACCTGTGTGTGTAGCTGAGAGTAAACTCAACTGGCCAGTAATTAATCATGGTTAATCCATCAAGTTAGCATTGTGTGTATGTTTGGGACAGGAGGGGGTGGGGGGAATTGCTCTTTGGATCTTTGTTTGCTGAGCAAATCATTGGGCCCTCCACCATAAAGATTTACCAGCATCTCTTTGGCTACACTCACAGATCTACTAGTTTCTGTATTGACCTTTTGCCTGAAATTGTGACTTAGCTTCTTTCATGTAGTTCTGCAAGTTAGTTCTTATTTATGTTAGCTATGAGGCATTTTTGCATTTTTGCATTTTTGTCATGCAAACTATCAAATAAAACAAGCCAGTTACAATTTATCAGCTGTGGGATGTGTTTACTCTGTCAAACCTGTAAAGAATAAACTGAAATAAGAACATATTACTACAATGTGTTGCAACTGGCAACACTCGGATGCCTACAAGCTTTGGCAATATCTCCTTTTAAATTAACTCGACCAAAGACNCATACATGCATGCATGCATGCATGCATACATACATACATACATACAGACATACATACATACATACATACACTTTATTTCAACTCAAATTATCAGAGTAGCTGTACTGAGCTAATATCTTTGAGAAAGAAAACAAAAATACATAAACCAATTAAAATTATTAAAATATAATAATTAAAACTACTACTAATACTATAATTGTAATTACTACTAAAAGCTAAGGTCAAGCATTGTCTTGTGAGTAACCCGGAGTACTGATAACCTGAATTTGTCCTTCTGCAGACTATCAAGGAAATCCTAGACAAGAGGGTCGAGAAAGTGGTAGTGTCATCTCGTCTGGTATCATCCCCCTGCTGTATTGTCACCAGCCAGTTTGGATGGACGGCAAACATGGAGAGAATCATGAAGGCCCAGGCACTGCGTGACAACAGCACTCTGGGATACATGGCAGCCAAGAAACACCTTGAGGTGAATCCCGATCACTCCATTGTGGAGACCTTGAGGCAGAAGGTGGAGACTGATAAGAATGATAAGTCTGTGAAAGATCTTGTCATGTTGCTGTACGAAACCTCTCTCTTGTCATCTGGATTCACCCTGGACGACCCACAGGTTCATGCCAGCCGCATCTACCGAATGATCAGTCTGGGTCTCGGAATTGACGAAGATATGGAAACTGGTATGTCAAAGGGATTTGCTGTTATCACAAACCAGCCAATAAATGTACAGGGCTCATAAAAAAAAAACTTGAATTCCAGCTTGTCCTTAGGACAAGTACTTCTCAAATGTTTCTTGCCCTGGGCAAAATTATTGCTTTTAATCAAGTGACTATTTACCTCTAAGTTGCAGAAAGATGTTGATCAGTTGTTTTGAATCCTATTTTGTTTTGGCTTCATCACCATTTCATATACAAAATTCTTCCAAGACTGAAGGAAATCCAAAGATTATTATGCAGACAAAAAAACACCAAAGAGGTTACAGTAAACTAAAAGGAAAAAATGACAACTGGTTTAGAATGGGAAAGGTTGAGATGGATGTATGAACTTGGATCTGTAGATTTTTTTCTGTACATCACTAAAAAAAAAAAAAAACTGGCAATCGTGTGTTACAGCTCTAGACAAATGTTAACAGTCACGTGCTCCACCCCTTCTAACTAAAAGGTAGCTGGAAATTTGAGGTTAGTTAAGTGAGATCACCTTGCCTCTTCCTTCATTCAATGTTTTTTTCTGTTAAATTAAAAAAAAAAAAAAGAAGGGCATGTTTGATGGTAACAGCTGTAGTGATTAGGTTGCTATTGTAGTGCAGTGGAAGCCACCTTATGGCTACCCTGTTAATATGGCCACCTTGTTATGACAGCGACTTTATCTGGCCCAAACAAAAGGTCAGTCTGTCATTTCCTTATTAAAAGAAAAAACCCTTTACAGTCAAACTTGCAAAACCATTAACACCTAAAATATGTCTGGATTGTTTATTATGTTAACCAATCACGAACGAGATCTTTAACCACATAAACCACAGAAAACCGATGTATTGTATAGGTCATGGAATTATTAAATATAGTTTTGGTTTTTGCTTTGTCCCAAGATGCATCCTCTGTCTTAATATATTACTGAAAGTCTAAATAATTGCTATCCTTTTGTAGCGAGAACCAGATCCAGTACTTAGTTTGAGGGATTTTGGAAAACAAGAAATTTGGGTGGTTTCGCTAACCTTGGTGTCATATTTGGTTAAACTAGCAACTCAATTTATTTAGCAAATAATTACAATCCCTTGGGCCTGGTGGTTCGGTGATCTAAACACCCTGGAAAGATTGACAACGATAAATGCAAAATGTTTAGTACTACTTTTGGAATTAGTTGTGGCAAACAGTAAACACCTCAATTTTCCACTGTTCCTTCCCAAATAAATTTGCAGTTGATTCACATAATACAAAATATGATGGAAGACTTCCATTTTCCTCAATATCACTCGTCGCTTTTCGTCGTTATCAAAATAATGAAACAAAATGATGAAAGCACTGATTTGGATCGTTTGCGCTTGAGTGATTCAACAGCTGCCAGTACAGTTGCGTCTCCTGGCAAATTGGTTTGTGAAAATAGTTTTTTCATGTTAAAAATATCTCAAACCTTATTCATTAGTGTTAAAATAGCTTGTAACAGCACTTATCTAATTTTTTTGTATAGCTGAAATAGAGGATTTATGTTGAGACCTTTTGAAACTAAACAAATTTGTTCGGTGACCGATGGAAAATCATTTTTCTGTGGTTGAAGATCTCGCTCATGATTGGTTATAACACAATAAACAGTCGAGATATTTTAGGTGTTCACGGTTTAGTGAGATTGACTGTAATACAGCCAGCCCGTTAATACAGCCAGATTTTAATGGCGTGTTGGTGAGCAGATTAACAGGGTTCCACTGTGCTTGATTCTGTTGTAGTGTCGGAGAATTTGAGGGATAGTCATGAGTTACTTATTTGCTCCACAGTTGCTGAAGGAAATACTGGTGAGGCCAGCGCTGAAGACATGCCACCACTTGAAGGAGAAGAAGGAGACGATCCCTCCAAGATGGAAGAAGTCGATTAGTCATTTCAGTCAAGATAACGGCTTGAAAAAAGGAATTAAGTCATTAGTTTGACAAGCTGCGTTCTTTTTGACAGTTGCATAGTAACCATTAACATTTTGCTGATGCGAAGTGCATTGCTATAAGCACAGAAAAACAATTTCTCGTAGATACTGAAATTATTAAGTACGTGTGATTTGGCTCAGACTACTTTATTGGGTAGGTTCACAATTTTGGGCAACTAATTGAACTATTGTTAAGTGAATAATAATTTAAGGGTGCATGTGCATGTACTAACATAAAAATTGCCCGAGTATCTAAAAGTAATTATGGTTGCTGTTGACCCGTTGACATCTTGTTTAAAATTGTCTGTTCTAATACTCTGAACTTTGTACTTTCTTATATGTAACATACCTACCTGTGTGTGTAGCTGAGAGTAAACTCAACTGGCCAGTAATTAATCATGGTTAATCCATCAAGTTAGCATTGTGTGTATGTTTGGGACAGGAGGGGGTGGGGGGAATTGCTCTTTGGATCTTTGTTTGCTGAGCAAATCATTGGGCCCTCCACCATAAAGATTTACCAGCATCTCTTTGGCTACACTCACAGATCTACTAGTTTCTGTATTGACCTTTTGCCTGAAATTGTGACTTAGCTTCTTTCATGTAGTTCTGCAAGTTAGTTCTTATTTATGTTAGCTATGAGGCATTTTTGCATTTTTGCATTTTTGTCATGCAAACTATCAAATAAAACAAGCCAGTTACAATTTATCAGCTGTGGGATGTGTTTACTCTGTCAAACCTGTAAAGAATAAACTGAAATAAGAACATATTACTACAATGTGTTGCAACTGGCAACACTCGGATGCCTACAAGCTTTGGCAATATCTCCTTTTAAATTAACTCGACCAAAGACGATTTCAGCCATCCTTGATAGCACACTCCAGACTGGATATGGGAACAGAAAAACTAACATAAAACTTCTTAAGATTGAAAATTAAGTGATGGCTGCTCCAAAAATATTTGACTATAGGTTAATAAAAAAAAATAACAGAACACAGCCCAAGAAACTTGGAATAAAACTATGTGAACATTGCTAGGTACAATTATTCGTATAATAGAGCTGCTGCTCTCATACAAGATCTTAAGTTGCATTTTTCAAATGTTTCATTTGGACATAATTGGCTGGGTTAAATGTTAGTTAGGGTACATTTTCCTGCCAAGTGTTCCTCTTGGTTGAACATGCAGGATCAAAAGTTGCACCATAAGCTTACAACTGATTTGGGAACTCTGAAGGCTTAATGCTGGACATGAAAAAGGCTGTAACTTTTTAAGGCGGGGATTAACCTAGAGTTTTGAATTAAAATTTGAAGTTTTGCTTTAATCTGAATTTGAATGTTTTATTTTGAGAATTTCTGTTAATGTAAGTTCAAAGCTTGTTTTCTTAAAACTAGTTATTTTTGCCTTTGAGAAAAGATATTTTGAGGAGGATTTGTCCAATTGAGCTGAAATTTTCAGGATTTGTTCTGAGTATGTTTTGAGTATCGCATTTTTCCATTGAGTGCATTTTGTCAAAGTGATGCATTTCAACGAATGCTGGATTCTCTGTATCAGATTTAACTGGTCACCATTTCAAGTGTTTGTAACTTTTCAAAGATCTCTATGCTTCAAGCTATTTATCTTTTAAAAAATGTCAATTTTTTTGATCAGTTCTTGTAGGAGTTATCTTTTCTCAAGTAAGCCTGGCATTCTCATGCAGGTGGAGTTAATCAGCTGGTGTCAGGTTACAATACAGTTCTAGGGTACAAAAATATTTTTTTCGTGATCCTGTCTTTTTCAAAGCTTTCATAAAATGTATACTTCGCCATGGTTTGGAATCAGATGTTTGAAAAAATGGTGTGTTTTAAGGTGAACCCCCACCTAAGTGGTTTAAGCATTAAAGAGGACATATATTTCTTGAAATCCGTATCAGGAAAATTTTCCTGGGACAGCTGACCATGTTATAGTTGTAGCTCAATCAGAAACTGAAGTGCATAAGTCATGTTATTATATGGCTAGCTCCGTGAGCAGGCAAGATGAATCAAATCCTGTGCTGTGATTAGCTACCCGAGCGGGAAAGATGGGGCTATCTTGCCCGCTCAGGACTACCCACCGTGTCCCGCAAGAAAAATTTCCCCTAAAGCCATATAATAATTCCTTTATTGACCAAGCTTGTTCGGTCAAGATGGCTGGATATTGGCCTCGTTCTTTTTTTGCGAGTTCATGGACCTCGACTTCGTCTTGGTCCATAAACACGAAAAAAAAGAACTTGGCCAATATTCTGCCATCTTGACCTCACACTTGGTCAATAACACATACTTCTTGCACGAGATGGAAACTAATTCCTTTTGCTTTTGTGACACTAACTAGTTTCCAGGCTTCTGAACTTTTATCAACTGATTAGAGCAGAATCATCTTTGCAATCATACAACTCTGGAATCTAAGTAGTTGGATTATCAGGGGAACTGATAACCAGACACGTAAATATTTCTATTATATTTCCTTGCCACCTCACCACCTAGTTCTATCAATGTCAGTGATGCCTTTATTATTTGGGAAAATGCAATAATTTTTGCCCCAATATATCTTGTATTCCCCAAAGTATAGTGGTATCAAGTGACCGAGGGTATTTTCTCATTTGCTGTTGTTGTGACTTTGCTTAGTTTTACTAAATTCTCATGCAGATGGGTGTTGAGAGTACAGAAATTCATCATCCGACACTGAAAGATTTATGCAAATTATAACAAGTAAGGAGAATCAATATTTTGAGCTGGATAATGGATTAAAGCATAGTGTGCTAAGACAAAGAGAGATAAATAGTGGGCAATCAAGACAAAATTTGAGGTTTAAAATGGACTTTGTCTTTCCTTTTTCAATCAAGAAACTGAACTCCATAATTTTTTATTCCTCTTTATTCAGTTCAAAAACCAGCAAAAAAGCAAATCAAGAAACCTACCTTGCAAGACATTCATTCCTTGAAAATGTACATTTTGTAGTACATTTGCAATTCATTTGAATGTGGGAGCTGCAGACAGCTTACACACCCTTGACAAACTTGCTTCACGCTTGATAAATAACTACATTGCCTGGCCAACTGCATTTATTAGACCCTTGAGAGGAAAAAGATGAGTCCATGCTCAAGATTCAGCGCAAACAATGACAAATTTTGGAATTTGTGGATAGTGACTTTAGGAAGAGATAGTTATGGATTAAAATGAGGACCGAGGAGCATAGCAAATGTTCAGAAGAGGTTAAAATAGCTCAATGAATGTTGCCATGAGAGTGACAGGAATGAACTGAGACAGACAAATGAATGTATCAGCAGTTTATTAAGTGGAACGACTACAGTGATGTTAAATGCCACCCACAATGTGCTATAGGTAACTAAACGAGCTGTGCACAAGGCAGAAATATGAATCACATGGATATGTGTAACATGAAGTCTCAAGTCAATGTTCTCTTGTTAAGTTAAACCAGTGAAGCAACACATGCTGACACAACTAATGAATGAGATAATAAATGGAAATACACTGTACAAATTCAGATTCAAATTACTGAATAAAAAGAAACAATGCTATTCCCACTACTCTTAATAGTGCAAAAAAAAGAACCAATATTAAAAAAAAGACCCTTGCAGTCACTTTTAGTAGCCATTTTACTACCCAAGTAGCATGGCAAGCCTATAAACATGACTACAGGGAGAGAATACTTAAGAACCAAAAAAGCTAAAATTCAAAATTTGCTGTTCAAACAAAAACAAATCAGATCTTTACAGGGGATGATCTGAGAGGGAAAAAATGCATTTCTTATCAACAGTGTTACGTAAAATGCCATGAGTAACACCACTAAAAGGATAAAAAAGATCAATTCTCAACTTGAGCTGGAGAAAATAACGGCCTAAGAAGAACCTTTCCTTCTCTGTTTTGCAAGAAGACCTGAATACTGAATATTTTGAAGCAAGATTATTTCAGCTTGCGACTTAAACTAAATAAAGTATCATGATTGTAAGACTATATGTTAACCAGCCCTCTGACTGCAAGCTTGTAGGGGTGAAGATGAAAATTAAGCACTGCTCCCATACTGCTTTCCAACATTGAGAGAGTTTTGCTTGCGACAGCATTTCCAAGTTACATGTTCAAAGTAACGCCTGGTGTTATGAGAAACTCGGTGCAAGCTTGCAGTATCGAAGGCTTTAAATATGATTTTTACACGTTATACAGAAAGGCACTCCAGCGTGCCTTACCGTGTTACTGTGATACATTAACAATATTGTTTAATGTCACGTGCACACCCAACTGGTCAACACTAAGGTGATAACATGTTCCATTACAAAGTAACAATTCCAAAGACAGTGGAATCCTGTATTGTTACATTTGTTTATCACCAACAGCTCCACAAGTATTGATCAAAACGATGATGGTATTTTGAGTATGCTGACAGAAAAATCATCTAGGCTCAATCAGTAATTTTCATGAAGAAAACTTCTTTTCAGTACAATCAGATTTTAGTAGCCTATTGGCAGTAAAATAAACAAGGTTCCACAGTCTGTACTGCTTCACTTTACCATGAACAACATACAGCATACTTTTACAGAATTTTGACCACCTCTTACTATTGTCAGCCAAAACCAGTTATAATAATGAAGTGTTGAAACTATTGCAGGTAACAAATGGTTTGCTGTTAGTTAACATGTTCAGTTCCCCCTGCCTCTAACTAAGTTCCACACTACGTAAGGGCAGTTGCAGGCTACTCGGACCTCCTTGACAAAAGTTTTGGAGTCATCACAAAACGCCCAAATTCTGGAGTGTTAAAATGATCTCAATAACTGCTATGAAGGTCTGTCATGGCCCCCCACTGAATTATACAATGTAATCATGAATATCTGCCCACAGTGATAAACACAGTGTTGCACTTACAATGCACAATTAGTGACCTAAGAAGTTGCATTTTAAAATTGCATTATTTTATGACTGTTGCCATGTAGAATCTATCTAAGAGTTTTCATAGATGACAATATATTTTTGGTCCCTATATTTCCACAAATTCGTCACGATAAAACCTAATAGTTACTTCAAATTGGTTTAAATACCATTTCTTTTTTTTTTTAATCTTGCCTGATAGGAAGATATAAAAAGCCTCACTTTTCAGCCACTATTCTTGTTAGGCAAGAAAATATTCTACTCACTAATATATATATAAATAATTCCATACAACATTTACATACCAATAATCTCACAACTTATTGACTTCCTAATTATTACCCAGTTCAAAGAAACCCTTGTGCTTATCCAACAAAATTTTGCAATCATGATTTTAACTCATTCAATTTTTTTTTACCTTTTCGGCAATTTGGCAGAGCCCATGTTCAATTTTTTGTAGATTACTAAGTTGAAATGTTTTGGCAAATGCCTGATTTATAGATAACAGAACTGATCAGAATTTCTGCGATAAAACTAATTTCACATAGATCATAGATTCTTAGGCAAGTGTTACAGCTAATAACATTTTTAAGTCAGTGGCAAGTTGTAAACATACCTACACACATAATTGTAAAGCAAATTAGGTTCTGCTACTGCATTGTGTAGTAATTTTCTGTACAGACCACACTGTACACATAAAAAAAAAATGCTTGTCTAACTCAAGTCAGTCATTGATAACGAGTCAACGTTGCTGCTAAGAATCCAAAACATTTTTCACATAAATCAATCAACATCTAATAAATAATTATAATAAAAACATAATTTGTGCACAATTCAGAGAAATGCATCACATTCCCAAATTGACACTAATTGCTGTCAGCATAGTGGCATTTTGAATTCCGCATTGACAATGGATGTGATTATACCTTTCAAATAAGACCCATGAATAATTTTACGATTTTTGTTTTCCATAGTACCAAGGGCCTTTTATTGTTTATTATTTTGTGGCACACAAAGCATTTGAACAGCATGAAGTTGCATACATGTACATGTCACAGTGATAGAAAAAAAAACATTTAATTGAAATAACCCACCAATACTACTAACATGTCAAAATGGACATGAGCACATTTAATAAAAGTTACTAGTGATGGCCTGGATGATGGAGGATTTGGCAGACGGTATCTACCATTTGATAGCTTTTATGAATGTTGTCCTAAGAGCCTCTCTGCCTCAACTTGTTGAAGCCGCTGTGTAATCAGGAAGTGGGCGGTCTGTGCACAGTTCAAATCTCCAGTGATGACGACTTTTCTATTGTTAGTACCAGGAACAAATTCCCCTTTTTGTGAGACCTGTATCTTTGCACCGCTGTATTGCATGAACTCATTGATGGTTTTGCCTTGTTTTCCAAGCACAGCACCTATCAGGTCATCTGGCACAGTTAGTTCCAAGGTTGCTGTTGAGTGAATCTGCGAACTTGATGAAGACAACCCTAGAGGTCCCATATTACTCATGGCATTGAGAAGAGGATTGTTTGCCCCCAGCCCACCCCCACTAAGTAAAGCTGCATGAGCCAATATATTATTAGCTGCACTATTTCCCCCACCCCCAGAGTTGTGGAAACCGAGTCCACCTAACCCAGAACCAGAAAACCCCCCAGTGCCAAAAGCACCTAAACTTGAATTGCCGTTTGATAGTCTTTGATGAGACTGGAGACTTGAGTATGAGATGTTGTTGTTTAAAGCATGCTCTGGATCCTCTTGCACCTTGGCGACAATGACAGCACACGCTGCCTGTACTTGCTCAAGACTTCCAGTGATGCCAATCACCCTCTCTCCTGGGACTGTCTCTGCATTTTTTTGGCTTACTTGTATTCTAGCGCCAGTTTGGTCACCTATGTATTTGATGGTCACGCCACTCTTACCAATAATCAATCCCGCTGTTGAGTTGGGGACCACAATTTTCATCTGTTTTGCACGTTCCCGATCGTATGTCATAGCTGGATTTAGTCTCATTGCTTGTGGTTCTTGTCTGATCTTTTCTATCACAAAATTCAACATTTTGTTAATAGTTTCGACTTCTCCCATTATTAGCCCAACTCTTTCTTGTGTTCCAGGGTAGTAATCATTGTTAGGTGACAGTTTTATTCGAGCTCCTGTTTGCTGCTGTACTTCAGCAATGTTTGCTCCTCCCTTGCCAATGATAGAACCGGCAGCATGGTTAGGAATTAAAATTTTCACAATTGGTGTTTTGGCAGCTGTAAGATAGAAGAAGGAATGTATGTTTGTAAAAAGACTGTGTCAAGCCAATAGCCCATATATTGCCTCATCATATTTGGCAATGTGACTTAGAGTACTTCTACCCCCCCTAGACATATACTAGTTCATCACTGGGGTTACCCCGCCTGCTCATTAAGTTTGTTGGTACCCATTTATACATATGTTTTTAAACACCTTTTGCCACCCTTTCAAATATTCAATACCAAACTTAGGTCTTGAATGAGGTTCAACAGTTTCTTGAGTGATTTATAAAATTAATCAGAATCTGTTCAATTGGACTTGACAAAACAAGATTCCGAGGGTGTAAAACAGTGCTGAACAAAAGGCATGGACAAATGCAGTGATCAATGGGGGAAGTTTTTATATTCGCAGGATGAAGGAAATTAAAGGAGCTACATCATGGTTTGCACATCTTGAAAAGTTTCACCTTAATTTTTCAAGTTCAACATTTGTAATTCATGTCAATCTTCTCCATCCTCAGCCATCCTTGTTCCTATATGCTTTATTATTATCTCTTAATTGTTTTCCAGCAGAGCTGGCGGCGAAGCATGTTACGTGGAATGAGGCAAAAGGCACTGCACAAAATAGGGTTAGGTGGCGCGCGCTAGTTGAGGACCTATGTTCCACTTAGGAACGAAGAGGATTAAGTAAGTAAGTAATTGTTTTCCTATCTTAGTAAACTGACATTTTCAGGTTTTCTTCAATTTAAATGTAATTATTATGTATGTGGCCTAAATAACTCAAAATGCTGTGACTGCAAGCTCCTTTAAGCAGGTGTTCATGAAACAATCAAAGTGCCACTTTATCCTCAAATGTTTAGGATTTATCTGTAATGGAATTTGTAAACAAGTATGCGGCAAAGAGACAAATAATTAAAAGAATGTCAAATTGGTTTGTGTAATGTTTGGACAAAAAATAAACTAGATTAATACTAATGTCTAAATGTTTAATGCAGTAGTCAAAGTTTTATTATCTTTTCTGAAACTCTGGCTAGAATTCATAAATTCTATGAATTCTAGATGAGTTTCAGAAAAGATACTAAAAATTTGACTACTGCATTAAACATTATGTATTAATGATCACACTATTCAAAATAGAAAACACGATAGTTTCAAAGGATTGTGGCACCAGGAATCAAGCAAGAAAACAATCTATATATGAAATATTCAACAATGTTCTCAAAATTCCACAGGATTTTCTTTTCCTTTTTAATTGATTCCAGAGTGACCCCCCTTACAAAATCAATATATTATCAAGGAAAGTAGGAACTAATCAACAAGGAATATTTTGTTTTGATAAACATATACCACTAAGCTATCAGAACTGGTACTGAATAAAGAAATAAAGTTTGGACCCAAGGAAAGCTAAAGGAAATCTGTTTTACTCTGTGTGACTGGAGTGAAAATCAAATTAACATGTCAATCAAAATTTGACAGGGGCAATCGAAGTGGATACATATTCTATTATCTATAACAGAAGCACATGTAAAACAACAACAAAAAACCTTTCTAGAATGTTCATTGACTATTCAGAGCATAAAGAATGTGTTTTGACTTGATTGCGCTTAATTTCAACGTGAATTAACAATTTTCAGACAAGAGATTATCAAGTACTCACTTTCAAGGAAACTCAATGATTGATTTCATCATAACTTAAGAAGTTTCATTCCCAGAAGTAGCAAAATACCCCAAAAAATATTTACCACAACTATGAATAAGATACAACTAAATATATACTCGCATCAAAGGTCACTTGATAAACAGTTTGCCCATCATTCCGATGAAGACCTTTGAAGGAAGCTACAGCCATTATGGCAATGATTTTAAATGCATGGGTATGTTTTACAAAAACACATAAATTACAGTTATAGTTATTAAGATCTGCTATGTACTTTCTTTGTTTTCTCTATGCAGAAAAATGCAATGACCCCAGCATGTTGTCATTAATCAAGGGCATCACACTGATAGAAAATGAATGAAATACATGGCATTTCATCACCAAACTGCATATAGTCTGGGTACAGACGCAATCACCATCTCATGTGGTAAGTATTGCACCCTTCCCATATCCTATCTAACTGGCATATCTACAAGTGCAGTTACTGTTGTATGGTGAGAGCTAAATAGACAGAGCTAAATTGGCAACAGGATATGTTTGCTGATTATTTGATCAGGGTGTTTTCTGGTATTGCCATGCTTCATAGAATCAAAAGCAAAATATAATGAATTTAACATGACTGTACGGCTGTGAATGAACATTGATAACATTTTCCATTGTCTGTCTTTTCTACAACATTGTTGAATTGGGAGAAGCGATGATTGAACGAAATGTTGAGTAAATATATTCCTATCTGTTGAGTAATTTACTTCAACAGAAATTATTAGTATTTTGATCATTAAATGGTATGCTTGATTTTTGAAATCAAGGCTCATTTAAAGACTAGGGAATTTCTTCATAACATTTGCGAAGAAGAAGAACAGACATGTTGAATAAAGATTTCTAGGAATGAGTGTTGACATAATTATATTCATTTAAGAGATGAAGGAACACAAAGGTAAAGTGGATCTTGTCAAACCAGGTACTTAAAAAACTCTAAATTAAAACGTTTGGTGACCATTAACAACGAGATCCGAACATGGTTAAAACAAAAAGAAAGCCTATTGGAATTAAAACCCTCTCAGAGTTAACAACACTGAGAGGGTCAAACAAATCTATCGAGAAATCTCTCTCAAGTTACTAAAACGACAAAACATTCTGTGCCATTGCATTCACACAGACACCACTGAAAAATTAACAATCATCTCAGTCAAAGGAATTAAAAATCAAAAGCAATATTCACCTTTCCAACCCCAGCAATACATCCTGGCAGTCAGGCTTAAGTGAAATTCATGAAAATGTTACGTCGTAAGGGTGCGTTTTTGGCGTTGAGCACCGTCTGATGGCTAAATGAAATGCTTGACCTCGGGTTGAGTACCACAGGACAAAACACAAGAACCTGACAGCCGCAGACAAACGTACTTTTCATAATGACCACCTGTGTTTCATGATTAACAGAAGACAAAAATATTCCACTATTTTAGAACAATAGCTGAGTTACTGTTCGCTTGTGAATTGTGGTAAACTTGTTATCTGGCGAAGAAGACGAGTGTTTTGGAAGGAAACTGCATCCAGACTTCAAAACGTCTTGCATCAGCGACTCCGCATTAAAATTCTTAGCAAGTGTCAAGTTATTCCACGCATACACTGAATTGTTTCGCTTACTTGTTTGATAAAATAATGTTCATTCCATTTTCGCAGGATCGTATGACAAAAGAAAACGTTATTTTATCACTAACTTCGTGTTGGATTACAAAAGATGGCCAGTGTAGGTGCACCCAAGTTACTTGATGCTTTTCAACACCATACGTGCATGCCAAGCGATTCTTGTTATTCTTGATGAAAAATACCAGTTATATTTGGTTCTTAATTTAATATTCTTCTAAACAAAAGACTTAACATTCAAAGTCTGAAATGAACTGTGTCAGAAATCAGAAATAAAAAAGATTAGCGAAAACACAGTGGAACAGAAGGCAGATGATACCGACAGCATTTAAAAGTGCGTCATCGCAAGTTACGTAAATTCACTCTGTTGTTTCTTTTTAATCATATTTAGCCACAGAAATTTTTCATCTCCTAACATAATTTTAAAACTACTATAGCAAATGACTTGCGGTTTTCAAATACGCAAGATTGTGCATAAAAATTTGAAACTTTGGACGTGAGGTACGGCTTGTCCTACAATAGCTACAGATTACTTCCTGCTTTGACAGCACTAAAGCGAAAGAACCACTAGCATTTTTTATAAAATAAACGAAGGCATGAAAAGATTTAACCTTCAAACTTCGCCAAACGAGTTGGCAAATAAATTATTGATTTGCCGGTCTTATTATAAAGTTATATGTGAAAGAGTCAGCTTGCCCGCTATTGTGGTCACGTCGAAAATTAGCTTAAATCGTGCGAAATATAATCTTTGAAACGAAATTTACAGTGAGGGAGCAAACTAAATTTTCTCAAAGTTTCAGCTTTCCAGAGTTATTTCATAAAGGTGTAGCGACCTGTTCACAATGGACATTGAAAATCCCTTCATTTCAAACAGTGTCACCTCCATTCCACCGATTGTTTATACCTCCCCACCCGCTGCCGCGAGCTAAACAGACCAATTTTAGAAGTATGAAATTGTCATTTTCTCGAAGTTTCTTTCGATCCGAGGTACTCGTTGCAGCGGCAAAGCTATGTCTGTTCAAAGGGGCCAGTCGGTTTTATTTTCCTAGTCGTAGAAGTTTTACAGTTGAATGACAGACGCAATAGCGCGAACATGCGATCTTAACGACGCAAAACAACATAACAAAGAGGCCGCGGAAAACACGCAGTATCTGCATAAAACACTAAGCAAACTTAACGAGAACACATACCTCCAAGGTTCGACCTCTTATAAGATGGTCTGCCTTCTATAGCGCCATCGTGTGGCCGTTTTTTCGAGTCGCTGGTACTCAAATCTACACCGCCATCACTCGCACTGTACTGTTCCGCCATGTTGAAAAGTGCCATGTGGAACTGAGAGACTCCCAGGGTACCTAGCGGTCGAGAAGCGTAGGTGTTTTATCACGGGAAGGAAAATATTTCAACTGGTTTTGCCATTAGCGACAAGCGATTTTAACACCAGAACAGTTTGAATATAACACCAAAAAGAACATATTTCTCTCATAATCAAGCTCAAGATTTCTTAGGAGACACCCAGACCAGATCCTGAAGATGTTTGTTGCATTTCTCAAGTTCAAGCATCAGGAAAAACACATTTATATGCATACCAAAGCTAATGGCAACGCAGATAAAAGAGTGTTTGCTTTTTAAATAACAAAGTAAATATTAATTTCATTCTGGAGCTTTAGGTTGTTTTCTTTCCCTAAGCTAGGTGCTTCAAAGATATCTTAATAACAAAAGATTTTTTTCTACTACAAGTAAAGTTTAAAGTGTGATGTGTTTTCCAGACACTTTTCAAAGGCGGCGTGGTAGTGCAATTCGAGCGCAAAGACAAGCGATGTTCAACGAAAATTAAAAAATATGAGCACCTTAAAATGCGATAAAATCTTCCGAGCCGTGTCTGAATTCCCCGCGTCAAGTCTCGAGTCTAGGCGAAAAGGCAAACGAACTCACGCAGCTTCGACAACATAAGTTATCTCCCGTGACACCAGTCCGCGGCAACCCTTATTGACTGAAACGAACCCCCTTTCAATAAAACACAAGAGCAGATTGCTTTCGTATTATTTATGTGGCTCATAGCTAATCCTAGCCCCCTCCCATTTCCATCTAACCACTCTCACTGAATAAATATTTGACGAGCAAAAGAAATCAAATATATATAATAAGACTTTTGAGTCAGACGCTGAATTTTGTCACCGAATCGAGAAAAGGCGGGGGCATATTCTTCAAGTCGAATTGCGACTGCTGGTAATTTGAAATGCGAATTGTTGGTGTCTGTTCAGATGTTTAAGAAAGACGGACAAACAATGTGTGGTTAGAAAAGGGCGGCCACCTGAAGTGGCGGATGAATAAGTAAAGGAAGTATGGTGAGGAAGAGACAGAGAGGGAGAGATTATCTCTCAAGAAGCAGTTTATTAATTCATTTTACGCCACAAATGCAAAGCATTTGAAGACGGATCCGGCTTTGAATCAAATTCAAGCCACAAAGAACACACAGAGAGAAATTTTAAAAGTCTCTCGAAATCCCAATAAATAAATAAATTTAAGAGGTATGAAAAGAAAATTTGCTCGGGTATTAAAACGAGTGAAAAAAAATATCCAATTTAACTAAAGAAAATTTGTGAAAAAATAATGGAAGCACTTATCTGCGCACTGACTAGACTTTGTCATTTTAGCGAAGGCTTCATATTGGTAAAAGCAAAAACATTACATTCCGATTATTAAAAAAAAATCTTTTTTTTCAAGAAGCAGTGTTCTTAAGGGGCTTATTGTTAGTCAGGATTCCCATTCAGTAGCCCAGCTGTGCGCCGTTTTCAAGTTCCCCTTGTTAAGCCGCAAAGCTAAGTAGAATATTGATAAATTAAACATACCACCCCATAGCTATCAAATCAGGTTTCGTTTGAGAAACAGTTTAAAGGCTATTACTTCTTTACAGGGGATTCCTGATTCCATAGCTTAATTCGAAAAACTTGAACGATTTAGAAGGCGACTAATAAGTTTTTTTATTATTATTATTTCGTTTGTTTAGGAAACTAAGATATGCAATAACCCGTACATCTAAATATCAGTAACTGCGCCAAATTTGAATGCGCCGCATCTGAACTCTCTCAAACTTGGTCGGGTCACTTATCTTTCGATAACCCTCATTGAGACAGCAGCCAACGAGGCGCATCCAAGTTGATTGTATTATTCAAACAAAACAAGGGCGTTTCTTGTTATTAACCCGCGATCACGCGTTACCTTTGCCTAGTTCCTAGACCTCGGCAATTCGCCCGTTTGATCGTTTGGGGTCACGTGGTCCGTTCGTCCAGGATAGGTCACTGAAATGAATTGACCGTGACGCCCTGGGAGAAAGCTGTACATGAACCTCAGGTTTAGTCCTTTGATGTGAGCGAGAAGAAAACTAATCAGATCGTGGGAAGATGTGTTTTTACTAATCTATTTTTAACGTGTATTATTATTATTATTATT